CTAGAGGCATACGCGTGACCGGAAGGCATACCAGATGGGGGGGCTCTAGGGTCAAGATGGCAGCCCAACCTTGGTCGTCCCTGAGAGGGCTTGACCTGAAGTGTCTTTGGGCTCTCAGCGGGCCTACTTAGGGTGGGACAGATTCTAGGGTCTGATTGCTCTAGGTGGCTGGTAACCTTCAGGCAGATAACTTTTAAGCAGTTGACCTCCAAGTGTGTAGTCAGGGACTAGGTTTGGCACATATTATGGGGGGACAACCTGGGGAATGCCCTTTCTGTTTCCCCCCAAACAACAAATTAGACTTTCCTGCATTCCCTTCTGTGATGCTTGAAAACCACCACTCCAATCAGGAGGTAGAGCATCTGTCCCCACAAAGCGCTCCCCGCCCCCCCAGTTTCCTTCTTGGGCTCCAGCCCCATGCACCCCTGCACCTCCAGCGTTTCCAGGGTGGACCGCTCCAGCACTCACCTTCGGTCTCTCTCTCGGCGGCGGGCACCTGGGTCCAGCGGGTCCTCCGGAGCACCCCCACCATGTGTGCCGTTCGTGGACGGGCATCGTGTGGTGGGGATACATACAGCTCAGTGTGAAGACACTCACGTGTCGTGGGAGGCCGGGGTCACCTCCCTTGTGGGTCGATGCTGGCAGGTGCCAGTCACCCAGGTTCCAACTCAAGAGAAGGGAAGCCTGCCCAGTCTGTACTGTCCGAGCCTTTGCCGACATACTTAGTGGGGTGAATAGTGCTGCCTGTGGGGACAGCTTTTGGGAGGCATGTGCGAATCCCTGGGGGCAGAATGGCTGAGCGTGTGAGGGTGGCGTTCAACACAGTGGATGCTGTCAGATGCCGCCAGACCTAAACGTGGGCCCCAGGCTCCCACATGCTTACCTGCGGGTACAGCGTCTGTCTTCAGTCTCTTTTTCACTCTGTTCTTGATATAGGATTGCCTGTTGTGCTCGATTTTCAAATGTCTCCCTTGATTGGTCTGGCTGGACTTGTATCAGTTTGCTAATTAGTCTCTATTGCCCCTCTGTTATTTCTCTCAGGGATGGTCTTGGTCACCTAGTGCTGCCAGAACAGAAATGCCACAGGTGCACGATTTTCACGAATGACTCCTAAGACCCAGGGATGCAGCGGTTCAAGTGTTTAGCTGATAACCAAAAGAGCCACGGTCCCAGCCTCCCCGTGGCCCCCAGGAGAAAGGTGTGGCAGGTGCCGTCCAGAACAGAACAGAACACTGCCCTGTCCTGCGCCAGCCCCACACCGCGCTTCCTCTCCCCGGCCCGTGGCTGTCCGTCCAGCTCCGTGAAGGCCTCCCACCGCCCCTCCGCTTTACCAAGCCTGAGGTCCCTCTCCAGGGCCTGGCCCTGTGGTGGGATTCAGGCAGTTCGCACTGGTTCAGCAGAACCAGTACCTAATTTTTGCTTGAGTTGGGTGAGCCAGTGGTTAAGATGTCACTTGGCATCAGGGCTTTCTCTGAGGTGGGCGGCTGGGCGCCCACCCAAGTTGGAAAGCACAGACTCACAATCCTCACTCTTTCTTCACGTTCATCTGCTCCACGGCGTATTCTAGGTGCCCATCCACGCCCATCCACAGTCATACACATTCCGACGGGATGATGCTTGTCATAGGTGCCCTGGTGGTGTAGTGGCGACATGTTGGCTGGCTAATGGCAAAGCCAGAAGTTCAAAGCCACCGGCTGCTTCTCAGGAGGAAGATGAGGCTTTCTGCCCCCGCCAAGAGTTACAGGAGGGAGCACTGGAACTGATGGTGATTACCCAACTCATTTTATTTACTTTTTCATCTTTGGGGGGAGGAATCGTTTTTATTACGTAGTATTTAGTAGTCATGCTTAATCAACAAGGTCAACAGAAATTTGTAAATATTTTGCTAAATAATCTTAATATGCTCTACATATTTTTTCTGCTATGATAACATTAAAATAATCTCTGTCTCCTTTATTTGTACAATGTCACTAGGAATAAATGTACACAAAACCTTTTCTGAAAGCAGATAAGATCAGCAGAAGTTAAAATTATATTCATTGATAAGCTAAAGACTAGCCCTGCCCTTAGAGACAGCAAACTGCAAAGGAGCCGGGGGTGGGGATGGGGGGAGTGGGGACGGGGGTGCAGGGGAAGGTGAGACTGACCTCGTCACATCCTGAGTGGTCTCCTTGAACACACAGCTCATTTTAAAAGCGATTGGACCATGAAAAAATGTTCAGAACGTGATTGGAGCAATGATTGTACGATTCTTCATGATATGATCGAACTATTGAATAGTACGACATGCGGATTGTGTGCCAATAAAGCTGTAAAAGTTGTTTGGTTTTTTTGAAGAGAGCGAGTGACAGTCTCAGAAAACCACAGGGCAATTCTCTCCTGTCCTGTCAGGTTGCGATGAGCCAGAATTGACTCATGGCCATGAGTTGTAATGCTTTATGTTTATGCTTGTAATGTTTATGAGTTTATTTCATAAACCCTGTTATATTTTTTATGAAACCCTCTCTTTCCCCGCCCTGGTGTTGGTGACTTCTGTAGGGTGACAGAGCGTCCAGAGTAAAGTGCTCACAAGCAGAGGGTGACAGCCTCTCAGTTCGTGTCACGCCCCACATTCCCTCGAGATCTTGAGTGAATCATGCGATTCCTGAAGTGTTCAAAGAGCTAAATTGTCAGAACAATCGCGCGGAGTTCAGCAGAAGCAGAAAGGGCTTTCTCAACGATGAACACACTGTGTTTCTAGTCATTCAAACGCAGCACGGCTGTGACCCAATTAGCCGACCTCTAAAGGGATGCGGGACCCACTCCTACAGTGCACAGAGGGTTGAGGATGAATCACACAGCCCGGGAGGCTCAGCAAAGATGATTTCAAGTGAGGATGCCGATCAAGAAGCAATCTGGAATAATCCTAAATAACCGTTTTATTATTTTTGTCAAGTATGATTTAATAATTATTCATTAATATTTTAAATTCTTTTGTATAACATAATCTAGTACTTCCGTTATTGTTCTTATTTAAGTATTAACTATATGGGATAATAAACTGCGTTTTGGTATATTGTTTTTCATACTTAACATGGTCTTTAGGACAGTGAACCAGTTATTAAATTATACGAATCCCGCCCCTGGACTGGCCCCTCCTGGTACCATGTCCAAATATGTGAGACAAAGTCTCAGCACCCTTGCCTCTAGGGAGCACCCTGGCCTACTTCTTCCAACACAGATTGGTTGCTCTTTTGGAAGTCCATGGTATTTTCTTTTTAAATACTTCTATTGGGGGCTTTTACATCTTTTATCACAATCCATGCATTCAGCCGGTGTCTCAAGCACATTTGCCGCCATCATCATTTTCAAGGCATTTTCTGCCCACTTGAGCCCCTGATATCAGCTCCCCATTTCTCCCCCTCCCTCCCCCGCCTGTCCTCAAAACCTTTGATAAGCTATAGATTATTATTTCCATATCTTACATCATCCTAAGTCACCCCTCACCCACGTTTCTGTTATTCATCCCCCTGGGAGGGGGTTGTGGTTGATCCTTGTTATATCATTCCCCCTTTCTCCCCCCACCCTCCCCTAATCCTCCTGGTATCTCTACGCTCATTGTTGGCCCTGAGGGGTTTACCTATCCTGGAGTCCCTGTGTTGCGGGCTCTTATCTGTAGCAGTGTGCATGCTCTGGTCTAATCCGATTTGTAAGGTAGAATTGACGTCAAGACAGTGGGGGGAAGGAAGCACCAAAGAGCTAGAGGAAAGTTGTGTGTTTCATCAGTGCTGTCCTGTCAGGGGAGCCAGCCCTACAAATCATCAGGGGTCTGGCAGGTGCAATTGTACAGCGATAATAAGTAAAGATGACAGTAAAGGCTTAGATAATAAGAGAGATAGAAAAGAGAGTGAAATCATGGAGTCAGACACATAATGGTAGCATGCTCACCTCAGCCCTGCTTGCTGGTCCACGTGGATGTGGAAGGTGGGAATTGCCAGAGAGAGCACAGGAGAGAGTGATTTATTGCAAACCAAGGCATATCTATCTTTAGGGGTGTGCATGCCTCCTAATTACAGATAAAGACATACATCACAGGAAGGGGGTGTGCAATAAGCCAATAGGAGGCGGATAGACAATGGGCATATGTGTAACAGGAAGGGGATGAGCTAGGGTATACACATAATAGGAAGGGGGGGGGACTAGGGGTATACATGTGATAAGAAGGGTGGACCCTAAATTCATGATGGCAGCTTAACCTTGGTCACCCTTGAGTGGGCTTGACCTCCCTGGGCTCTCCTTTAGGGAAACAATCTACTACTAGCCTTATCAGAAGGGAGTGGGCCCTACTTAAGGTGGGACAGACTATATAGTCTGGTCACTGTAGATGGTTGATAACCCTTAGCGAGAATAACCTCTGACCTACGTCTGCTGACCTCCAAGTGTAGTCATCTGCCATGTGTGGCAAGCAGCTAAGGTTGGGATATATTTGGGGGAGACAAATTGGGAGAAATCTTTCTGTTTCCCACAATTCCCCCTTTTTTTATATATAAAATTCAAAAGAGCCACAGGGGTGAAGTGATTATTTCCTATACATTGGAAACTGTCAAGGCAAATTTAATGACCAAATTAATGTAGCCAAGCCAAAAACTCCGGCTTATAGCAAATATTTTGGATTCAGGGGATAAAGTCTTCTCATGCCCGTCTGCTATTGGAGGAAGGTATGAGAGGGATTGGATGCCGTGGCAGGAAGAGATAGAGCCAATAGGCATGTCTGCTTCTATAGGGAGACAGAATCAACCATGTGCTCACTCTAAGGCAGCACAATTTTAAGGGGAGAAACTGTGGAAATGTTAGATTACTGCAGGAAAATGTACTTGGACTACATCTTCAACTACCAGAGTGGCGGTCTTCCTACCGTGGAACACTGGCTTTCCAGATTCCCCGTAGCCGTCAGGGAATAAGTCCCAGTCATATTTCCCTCAGCGCTAGTATCCCACACTGCACTGCACCCTGACCGGCTCATCTCATCCCTGTGACCCCTCTGTGAGGGGACGCCCAATTGACAATGCCCATCGGTCTTTTCACTATTCCTTGCCACCACCACGATTCAAATGCCCCCCTTCTTCTTCGGCCTTCCTTATCCGACGTTCGCTTTCGCACGCACCTGAAACGACCTTGGCTGGGCTCAGGCTCAGCTGAGTTCTCAGAGTCACACCCTTGCTCTTCAAGACTCAAACGCGGTCTTGTGCAGCAGATGGACCCAAGGAAATTCGCCCTCTTCGCTGTGGCCTGCAGGGGCCTCGCGTGTGGATCCAAGCAGGATGAAACTCTTGACAACCCAGCCTCTTCGCCTGGTCATGCTGCCCCTGGTCCAGTTGGGAGGACACTGGGTCTCCCATCCACGGAGTTGTAACCCACACCGAGGGCTTCAATGCGTGATCTTCGTCAGCGCGTGCTTCAAGTCCTCCTCACTTTCAGCAAGCCAGCTCGAGCCATCTGCATATCTGCATATGTTAATAAGCCTTTTCCCCCCTCCCTCAGCTCCCCCCAACT